GACCGCAGAAAAGCCGCGCGCCAATGTGTTCTTCTTGCATAGCAAGGTGAAATGTGGTCGACGACGACGACGACGACTCTCTCTTTTTCCATTGTGAGCTTGCTCGTCGCTGATCGATCTCGCTCTGCGTCCACGGCGCTACTGTATTTTACGCGTCACGTACGGAAAAGTCGCGCGCGTTATAACACGCGATTGACTGCATATCAAGAAGAGCACGTAGCTTATTATTTTATTTTATTTTTCTCATCGTTATTTAATTCGGGATTTAAATGAAGTGAAAAAATATGTGCGTGCGTGTCTCGACTTTCACGCGTCCGAGGGTAAGAGAGAGAGAGAGATGTTTCCGAGCCACCTGCACAAATATACGCGTGTGAGCTATTTTTGACCGTAAAGGACGTCGAGGTATTTCGCGGGAAGCAGAGACAATGAAGCGCCGCAGCATCTCTCGCGTGCTGCGATGCATGCTTATATGCACGCGAGAGAAAAAATCTGCACGACGTGTCACGCGAGATAAATACATTTAGAGCCGTGTGTACGTCATTATTAAGGATGCTCGCGGGCCTTTTAAAACACGCTCACATACGTAGCAGCGGGCTCAACTCTTTTTTAAAGAGATACGCGTCGCTAAAGTCTACCAGAAGACATTGATTAATACGCGCTAATGGGTCATAAACCATACGTATAAGATGCCGTGGTATGGCTCTCGTTCGATGAGTCTTGTCACACATTATTCTTAAATACATACCAGCATAGTAGGCGTCATTCGGTGTGTATCGAACACATCTTCCTCGAGTCAAGTGTTTTATTATTTATCGTATCTATTTGTGCGGCTTTTGTGCAAGCGCGAGGGCTGCGACGATCGTCATCGAGAGAGTCGGAAGGAAGATTTTGTCATCGTATTAACACACAACCTCCGGTGAAATTCGGCGCTATTCGAGCTCGGCTCTTATTGTCCGCCCGATCCTAAGCTATTATAACGTACGAGCTCGCTCTTAGCACGAATAAACAAATCCTCGTGGTGTGTGCCTGAGTGGAATGTTTCATCAGGCCGACACGCGTGTGCAGATAATATGCAGCTTACACGAGTAGTACATAATCCTAGCTCGGACCTCTCGATGCCGCGTAGCTAAACTTTCTCTCTCTCGGATAATAATTTAAGGTAAACACTCGCGAGCATCTGCTACAAAATAATGTATCTCGACCTCGAGGAAATCTATCGTACCTGTATATGTACCAACAGCTTATCGCGTTGGTTAAATAAATTTCTGATTTTGTAAAGCAGATAAAAAATTCGTTATCTCCGCGAGACTGCGGACGATAAAATCGAGAGGCTAATTTATTTAACTTCCATCTCGGGTGTCCATCGCTCGAAAATTTCGACAAATGTCCGTGTTTATAGTTGTTTACACATTAATATATGTACGAGCTCGAGCCTCATATAAGTGCACGCGAGATCTCTCCGCTCTTATATATACCAAGACGATGACTATCTCAGCGGCTGAAGTTGTAAGAATTCCAATTCATATCCAATCATACACATAGTCATCTCATTAAATGTATGTATATACATGGAGAAGCGCATCTGCGCCCGTCATCACATCGCGATCGCGTCTATGCGATGAGCTCACGCGGAGGGTTGAAGGTTGCACCCGCGTAAATTCATATATAAATCGCTTCCTCCTCACTAAATTGTGTACTAGGCAGCTAGATATATATGCGCGTGGCTGACTGACTGCCTCGCTGGCTGGTGCGTAATTGAATTTTCCAAACAGCTGCTCGCACATCTATATGCATGTATACAAGCATCTGCTGCTGCTGCTGCTGCTGCAGCAGGCGAATACGCAAAACAGTCCATACGTTGTTCGCGGCCATCGCTCGCTGCAGTGCAAGTCGCGATAAAAGCTCATTGTCGCTCGCGACGCAGCTACGAGAGGTCAACGTCCCGCTGCGGACACACACCGATCGTCATCGTCGTCGTCGTCGTCGACTGCATGTGTGTGTGTGTGCACCAGTCGCGAATTAAAAGAGACGCAATTTACGCGTTCTGTTATAATTTTCATACGTATATATGCAGGTGCATATGTATCGGGCGGCAATAATTTACTCGATATCGTCGCGTTTCCTCGCGTCAATCGGCATCCATCCGCTTCTTTCAAGAGTCTTCCGCTGCTGACTTCGTTGTTTTCTTTCTTTCGAGTGTCTCTCTCCTCGCTCTCTCTCTCTCTCTCTCTCTCTCTCTGTTATGCCACTTTACTCGCGATATATAGGCAAACGAGATCGCGTGCGTACAGCTTCGGGATCCGACGCGAGACTATATTTACTATATCTACAAGTAGGTACTAACATATCTTAACCAAATTTTTAAGGAGAAAAAAAATGTAGGCGTCGGCGATGGCACGCTTATTCTTCGAAGCTTAACTAAAACATACACACATACACACACACAATGTGCAGCAACATTTAGATATATGTACCGTAATTATTGACAAAAGTGCAATTGCGCAAAAGCGAGCATAGCTCGTCGCTGCGTATAGTCGTTGTCGTCGTTGAAATCTGGGCTAATTGACTCGAAATGTTCGTATACACGCTGCAGGTGCAGAGTGATTTTCTCTCTCGCTCACTTGCAAGTGCACAGCTGATGTAGACGCGTAGTAGTTGGTATATATACAAACTTAACCGAGCTGCTCGTAATATACCGCTACGCGCGAATTCTCACCGAGCTTTTCTCTCGCTCTCGACTCATCATATGTGTGTGTGCGAGCTCGATAATGCGCCTGCGAAAAGAGGAGCTGCTACTATTATAAGCTCCAAGAAAATGAAGAAGAAGGACGCGGAGAGACGCTATCTGGATCTTGGAAAAACGCCTGGCGTGTATATGCAGCTAACGAGTGCCAATTCCTTCTTTTTTTCTTTCGCGCCTAGCTCTCGTGCCCAGACCCATTATTAATGAATAAATGAACGTTTCAATGCTGACCGATTCTCCCACGTTGTTGTTCGGCTTGTATTGTGTTTTCTTATTTGCTGCTGATTCTGCGACACCTCTCGCTCTATGCGCTGGTGCCAATTTTTTCATATTATTTGCCGACGCTACTATATTATATATTGTACAGCCGTGCGGTAGGCGTGGATCCGTAAGTGAAATCCCATGTCTATACGTGAAAATAGCACTGAAATATCGATACAATACGGATATTATGCCATTAAATGGACTGTACTTTCTGGTAAAAAGTGTCTATAATATATAATAAAGGACGCGACGCCATGTGCCCTTGTCCCATTGAGCTCGACTTATTTTTCAAGAATGTAACATAATGTACGACGGTCTTTGCATTAGCGCGTGCTGTGTGTGAAAAATCGCATTTCTTCTTCTTCTTCTTCTTCTTCGCGTGTCCACCCAAAGCCCAGAAAATTCCCATCGTCGACGCGCGACTGTATTAAAATGTTTTTATTTATTTTTTGTTTCGTTCGTTCGCGTGACCCGAGAGCGAGGAGAATCTAAAACGAGCTCGTCGTCGAGTGCATAGGTACGCCAGGCATACGGAAAAAGCGTCTACTATGATATGCCGTACGTTTATCTAGACAGGAAAGAGCGTCTCTCGCGCGCCTTTAGGATAATGACAAGTGCTATGTAGCGCCTTTCGAGGTTCATTTCCTCGGCGAGACCTACATTATATATACGTACAGTACACAGCGCACAGAGACTCGCGCGCGAGAGAATAAGAGAGAGAGAGAGAAGGAAGAAAGAAAGAATAAATAAAAATATCGTTCCCTCGGCCGTGGCTGCTGCTGCTGCGTCTTGGCGGCGCGAGGACGACGTAATTTCCCTCGGAGCGACAATTGTATAAGCTCCGTACGTATACCTATATAGTACTGTAAGCTTCGCACCGCGTCGGCCTCGGAAATCGTTTCTTCCTCGCTTCTTCCTTCTCTCTGTGTGCCTTTTCTCGGTCGCGTGAATCGTATATATTTTGCATTCTAGACGCAGCAAACATAAGTTCGTAAGCTGCTGCGATCGTGCGAATCCGCGCGATTGTTATTTTTGCGGGACACGCACGTATACGTTCCACTAACCCCTTGTTCGCTCGAGCCGATCGTTATTTGCCGATCTCGAAGCAGCGATAAGCGAGCGATCTTGAGCCTTTTTTCTATAAATAAGTCGATTCGATTATTATTGTATATTTGCACTCGACGCAACTGGACAAGTACTCTTACCGATCGCGATATATAAATTCCGTTTCCTCGTTCCAGAATCACGAACGAGAGAGAGAACCTCGACCTACCGGGCGAAAAAGCGGGGGCCCTGCTCTCTTTTTTGTTCGCAATAATACATAAAGTCGAGAAGAGAACGAGGCGACGGCTTGATAACTTTATAATGGCGCGCGTTACGAACAGGCGAAATATCAGGGCTTCCGCGCTAGGCTCATTAATAAGCAGCGCAGCAACAGCAGCAACTCGCGAAGGGAGAAGACGAGTCGAAAAGAGAAACGTTGTAGAAAGCGAAGAAGATCAGCGAAAAGAAGAAGCCGAGAGAGAGAGAGAGATACGAGAGATGCCGAAAGGGCTCGGAATCCAATAAACAAGAAGAGATGAGGATGATGATGAAGAAGAAGAAGTCGTATTATTCGCGAAATATTTCCGCGAGAGAAGCATATAGCTGTGTTACAACACACGAGGCACAGGTCTATAAGTGCGTATCCGCCCCCGCATCCGAGTATACACACACATACACACAGATTCAACTAGCTGCAGACGTAAACACACGTGTGTGCATCATGGAAGGTCGCTTTCCTTCCTCCGTTCGGGCAGCTAAATATTGTCCGTGTCTATACATACAAGTATATGTATGTGTGTGAGTGAGTGAGTGAGAGCTGTGCACTGTGCGCTGTGTTTTATATATAGCTATATACCTACACGATCGGGGAGTAGAGGGGCGAGCAGCGACTCTGCGGCGCTGCGGCTAGCGCGCGCGCGAGAGATCGGAGTGCGAGCACCGCCGGGCCTCGAGACAGCAGTCAGTTCTAGCGGAACCGCCGACTTGTTTACGAGCGTTGTGTATTATATACTCCAACGCGTACATACTGCGTGCACAATTTCGAGATACAATACGACGATTCGTTATCGATACAAGTGCGTTAATCGTCCAAAGTGCAAATATAATTATAATCCTACAGCTCCCACGCAGTGATTTTCCTTTTCGCGGTCAGTGTCGTTCGATTACATAGTTGTGCTAATTAATACAAGTGAACTGTGCTCCATCGTATCTCTCGTATCGGCCGGCTGCAGTTGTGTGTTTTAAATCGTATATACAAGAAGATGCTTCGGCTTTGAATTTCGCATACCGATCGTTACATCGCACGGTTCGGCGCTCGGCCATTCGAAAGCAACGACAGCAGCTCTTCAGCTCTTCAGCGTGAGTACATAAATTACAATACAATGCGCGCCGCAATCACTTTTATACGAAGCCCCAATTGTACGAAAAAAAGCTCCGAACTGCGCCGCTGCGAGGGAGAGATAATCCAATCAACGTCGAACGATTAATTGTACGACAAATCTTGCGGTCTAAACTTTAATGATAAATTTCAGAGCTTATACTATATATAATATTAAATATGAAAGATCAAAAAGCCAACACATCCGCTTCTCTCTCTCTTCCTTCGCTTTTTTTTTCTCTCTTTACATCCGACAAGTATTAAGCTCGCGCGTACACATATAGCTATAGCAGCGATCTCCCGACTTTTGCACTTGCTTTTTTTTTCATTTCGAGTTTATATACAGCAGCTACCTGCGTACATCGTATATACGTACGCAAGTAACGCAAGGTACAAAAGAGATCCGCACAGCTGCGGGTACTATATATGTATACGCGCTTAAACAACACAACACCGGAGATCGCTGCTGCTGCTGCTGCTGCTACTTCGGTGTAAAGAGAGACGGGGGCCCTTCGTACATACACATACGCAACGATGAAAAGACGTACTTCCGTTATAGCGTCTGCTGCAGTCGACTCGAGCTTTTCATCCTTTTTGTCTTTCTCCGTGGCATGGCATCTTTCGCGCGTACATACGCAGACGCACGAGACGAAGCTTATCCGCGCGCGAATATGCTTTTATATACATATATATCGAATCAAAACGCGACTCACCTGCAACGAGCGGATGTGCGCGCGATTTCACTTTAGCTTTCCCGACTCTCGTGACTGTAGGCACCCCTTTTTTGTTTCGTCTTTTCATCTTTTCACTCGCGGGAGGGTAAAAAAGATCGGGGATTTCTCTCCCTCGCGCAATTACCTCGGTGAATGCAAATCGCCTACAAAAGAGAGCCCTTGAAAACGTCTCGCCCTTGAAAACGTTACAGAGCGAGGAAAGTCGAGAGAGGAGGAAACACACACAGACAGACAGAGGCACAAGCATGCTGAAGCACGTCTCGGTGTCGCCGTGGCGGGGACGCTCGGACTCGGTGAGCCTGGCCTCGAGCGGGGGCAGCACCTCGAGCTGCGGCAGCGGGGGCACCCCCAGCCCGGGCCACACGCCGCCACCCTCGAGGGCCTCCTCGTGCGCCTCACTGGCCATACCGCTCAACGGCCTGTCGAGCTTCATCTCCGTCAACAGCATCGCCAATAACGGCGCCAATTCTCAACCGAGCCAGCTGCTGCTGCATCATCATCAGCAAGAAGCACCTCAGCAGGTTGGTATCTCTATATATTATACTACTTTGATAAATTTCCACGCCGAATGACTGAGTTGGATTGCATGTGCGCTGCCGATCATCATCGATCGATCGACCGCAAAGAGGAGGAATCCGGCAGTGATTTCTCACGATTCTAGCGCATATTATGTAGTAGTAGTAGCGTATAAAATTGTGCGTGCAGCGCAAGTGGGGCCGGCCCCGCAATGCATCTCGCTCGGCTCTCTCTCTCTCTTCGGCGCGTAATACGATAACCTCGTGAACGCCGCGTCGCGTGAATATTTTATATTATATATATACGTGCACCACGGGCTCTCTGTTTGGCTCTTGTATATATATGCCGACGCCACATGCACGAGAGCCAAAGTGCATCGACGACGAGCCCCGTGTACTACTACTACTACTACTACTACTGCGTGTATAGAATATCCCGAAAAATTTCCCCAATGTTGTTGTCGTCGTCGTTGTGTGCTGCATCACACGCATATAGTACTCGATATCGGAGGATACATATATCGATGACTCTCGCTGTTTGTTCACGCGCTGTATACAGTTCCCCGCAAGCGAGCGAGCGAGCGGAGGCAAATATTTTCCCGCGCGCGCGCGTCAGTGCCCCTCCGACAAATCAGAGACACGACTCATCGTAAATACATTATAATATAGACACATACCAATACGATTCCGGAGCTTTGTATTATTATATATCGTATAGCGGTGCTCGAGGCGCGCGCAGACCTATTATACATTATATCATATCGCGCGCGTCAAGTGGCTGCTGCTGCTACTGCTGCTTCGACGCCTTTTTTTTTCTTCTTTCGTATATACCCACAAAGTGGCGCGTAAGTATATTATAAGTATATATAGAGCCGATCTTGGCGCGACACTTGTTATATATATATATAGAGAGAGAGAGAGAGAGAGAATAATACCGTAATATTATAAGCGCCTCTTCTTCTTCTGTGTGAGAACTCATTGCTCGGGATCGTCGCATACAACTGTATATACGTTATACACCCTCGACGAGATGCAGACGCTACTGCACGCAGTTAAAGTACGCGTGATCTTTTTGCCGCTGCTGTGTTATTTTCTTTCCTCTCTCCGCATTATTGTGGGATTCGTCGTCGTCGTCGAGTCTCGTCGAAAAAAAATCGTCCTCGGAAGCTGCTGCATGAGTCGCCGATCGGTCTCTCTCTCTGTTTCTCGTGGGCGGCTCTCGCTGTGTTCGCGACCCACGCAGACATCTCGTGACACGGTACCCACGGAAAATCGTCTCTCTCTCTCTCTGTTTGTTTACTCGCTGCTGTCCGTCCGCGTCAGAACGGATACACGCTTCGAAAAAGTCAATCGGCACACCGTAACGCGCCGCCGATCTTTTTTACGTTTGTCGGCGCGGTCTCGCAGCTAGACTCCTATTTATAACAAAACACAAAAAAAAAGAACGGAGACAAGTGTTCGGAACTCTCTGTATATAGATCGTGTCTATTATAATATTACGTGTGTATTTGATTCGCATCGATTGAATTCATATACTAGAGAAGATCGACAATTAGCACGTCTATACAGCTTTTGTATATCAGAGAAATTGTGTTCTTTCCCGATGATGTCAGCTATCGGCTCGATATTATTCACACGTATAATTCGCACGGTATTAATTCCGATTTGGCGTTACAGATGAGCCCGCGGACACATCCGTATTCTATGACGCACTCGGCTCTTGTAATTATCAAAGTATGTGGCTCTCTTGTTTTGTTTTGTTTTTTTGAGTAAACTCTATTTTTCCCTACTTGGCGTCATTTTTCTAAATAAACTCGTCGTATAGATAGTAGACCCTATGCTGCGAACTCCACCGCACTGCAAGCCTGAGAGTGATAAAACACAGACGAAGAAAAGTCTGCTTTCGTGTCGTCGTCGTCTACTCGAGCAATGTATAAACACACGAGGCGCAGTAGCGATTTCACGTAGCGCTGCCGCGACGAAAATTCTCAAGAGGCTGCAGTGCAGCGTGTACCACGCTGTGCTGTGCACTGTATAAAACGACGCGACGATTTCGACATCGTTGAACACACACACACACGTATGTATACTGCACTTGCTCGCTCAGCTGCCACAAACAGAGACACACACGAGAGAGAGAAAGAGAGTAGACGTTGCAAAAACAGAAAATATTTTAAATTAATATCGTAGCTTGGTCGTCTTTGCGGATCGCGGCTGGCGAGAATTACTCACGACGCGCGCACAAGTGTTTACTCATACTTTAACCGCGACACAGCCATCAACAAAGTGCATCATTTTAATATCTATATATGCATAAATAAATATATCGTATTGCAGTGGCCTCTGCCCGAGTGCATCGGATAAAAAAATAACCCAGCTTGTATTTTATAATATAATAATGCAGGCACGAGACTGGTGACTCGGCGCGACTCTGTTGATAATATAATGATGATAAGTAAATAAAAATGCACGTACACGATGGCCGTTGACATTTCGTTCGAAAACAAAACAAAAAATAAAAAAAATAAAGTCATCGTGATTTTGAAGAGGATAGCAGCTATATAGTCTCTCTCGAGAGGTACATAATATATAGGCACCGAAAATAAGCCGATAGTTGACACCGTATAGTACGCAAACAGCTCCAAGTATGTACAGCGGAATATGCGTGCGTGTATTAATATATCCTCGCCGCGCAGAGGAAGCAGGAAGCCCCACATATACACACACACACGTACACACATAAGAGAGCAGCAGAGGCTGTATATAGAGAGAGACGCGCGTGTAGTCGAGCATCGAAAGGCAGCAGCAGCAGCAGTAGCGCCCGCATGCTGGTGTATTATTATCTCCAAACATACACACATACACACGCGAGTGTATTATATATAGTAAAAGTGGTGTAAGTGCAGGCAGGCAACGTCCCAATTAAATGTCCATCGCCGCTACTTCATGCGCGAGCCTCTACAGTGTTGATCAGTCTGTGTATACGTACGTCTTTAATCAGGATATAAACTTTCTCCGTTGCCGCGTCTCCGTACATAGGCGTAGAGGCTTTGTTTTTTCCTTCCTCTCTTTTTTATTTTGCCAAGTACTCGAGAGACAGGACGAGGATTTCTTGCCTTCAATAATATTAATATATATAGCATAAGTAGGCGCCGCGCGCGCGATCATCAAAAGCTGCCCTATATCATACAAATATCACCCGCTTCTCTATACGACGATTGAATATTATAATAAACTGGAACGACAAAATATCTATTTCTCAAAACGTTTGCTCAACTCGCGCAGCAGTAACAGCACGTGCGCTATTATATCAATCAGTTTGGCCCTACGCACAGCACCGATGTTGGACTGATTTGCGGCCTAGCGACTATTATAATATTCTCTCGATTATAAATATAAAGCGTTTTTTCCACTGAAAAATGATCATCGCTGTTTAACAAGCTCCAAGCGCGTGCAAATAAATCGCGCGCTGAGCTCGGGCGAAACTCTTCTTCTTCTTTTTTTTTGCTTCTCTAGTCCCTTATATATATATACCAAAACCGGCGTAGTATACCGGGAATATCAACGCTGCTTTCGGAGTCGACACTCGACTTCGAGATGAGACTCGACGTATACAATAAAATATTCGCATTCTCGTCACACGTCGCGTGTGCCTACCTCCAATTTGAATTATATTAGCTTATACCCTTTTGTTTCTCAAGCTCTCTTTCGCATTATTATACATTATATTACATATCCACGAAATGCACTTTTTAGTGCGCTCGCGCGACGAGTCAAGGACTCGAGTACGAGCAAAGTGTCGAGGTCGCGCAGCCAGCTCCCATATCTATATAATACGCAGACACGCATCGTTCATCTTTATATTGGCCATTTAATATAATAGCTGCAAGGTCGTCGTCGTACCGAATCGCTAATAGTCATTTTTCGCTGCGCTGCGCATTAACGCCTCGCGACGACGAGGACGCTTCGATTTGACCACTCCGTCTGTATGCTGCTGTATATAACGCACGACGATCTCCAGCGAGTATACACGCATTTACGGACTAGACCTCTCCATGCGATCCAGACGTGCACTCGGGTCTATAAGTGCCAGAGCGTCTGGGGGCCGAGAATAGCCTCACCTATACCGTATACCAAAGTACGTATGCAACGAGAAGCGAAACAATGAAAAAAAAGAAGAAGCTCGACGTCTCGTGCGTTTGCCTGAATTTACACATTACGCGCGCGCGTATATTTAAACGGGCGCGCACTGCGAGAGCCGCGCGAGACTGGAGCAAGGCTAGAACAATTAAATTACAAATCGCATGTCTCGGTCCCAATGAATACGTCTTCGTTCGCGAAACGAGGAAAAATTCCTCGATGCACGACGACTCGAGTGTGACTCGCGATCGCGGTCGAAAGTCGAAAATCCCCGCGCGCGAAATTATCGCGCGCAATAATTGGCGGCGTCCCCCCGGCGTGTTACGCACGCGCTGGCGAAATTCCCCGGGATAAAAAAAAAACGAGTCGCGGTATCGAAAGGATTTGTGCAATCGCCGATACGCATCGAATACATGCACACAATATAATAATGACTAAGAGCTGGCTGGCAGGTTTGCGCACACGCAGGCTTTTGCACAAATGTAATTTTCAGCGTAACGATATGTGTGCAATAATATAATACACGCGCGAGGTGGATATATTATATTATTATAAAAAGGGCGGAATATCTGTATATGGATGCGGAACCGTCGCGGAAGTGGCCCATGTGTTAGCTATTGTTGTTGTTGTTCTTGTCGCAGTCATGGTATTGCGTGTACTCACACATAAGCGCGCGAAAATGCAAGGCAACTTATATTCTACTTACGTTATACATTATACGCGCCAGGCCTGTTTTATCGCGTCCGCGATCGAGTTGCTGCGCGCGAGCGCGAGGCCCATTGTGCAATATCCGCAACGCGTGTGCGTGAAATATATTAAAAAAAAAAAAAAAAAACAACAACACGCTCCTAGCTCCACGCTGTATA